GGGAGACAGTGATTGGCCTACATGTTATGAATGCTGGCGTACCAGAAAGAATAAATGAACAGTTTAGTTTGTGCCTACAACTCGTTGCTCATAGGAAGACATTAGCTGGATATAACCTAACGGAATATCTTCAGAACGGCTCCAAATGACACAAAACTCATATGGGTGAGTAGAACATGATGTAATAATGTAAAATCAAGGGCCCAATATAAAAAAAAAACAGCGTGTAAGTGGGATACACAATGCTTAAAAATGTGCACACATGAAAACCCCCGAGGGTCAGAGACTCTCCCACCACAGTCTCCTAAAATCCTGTGGGAAACACTGGGATGGCTGAGAACCTTCACCAGCATTTTGATGGTAACTTCAGGTTCCGGTATCTGAACATGAATATGAGGACTAAGAACCAAGATAATTATTTTAGCAGGATTTGTCCCATCTGTTGAGTTCACCACTACATTTACCTCAGCAAGAATGTGAAACCATTGCTAACCAGGACATATTCAGACCCACCACTTGTGAAAGTGTTCATAGATCATCCTGCATTTCTCAACAAGCAACTATGCAAATTGAGCCTGAACCAACCAGTCATGCATCTTTGCCCTTCAGGAAATCCTACCTTTGCAAATAACTCCTGCTGCTGCCTGAGCAGCTCCTCTTCTGGGATGCCCAAGTTCTCCAACCGGGAGCTAGCCTTCCTCCTCTTCAGAGCTACACTCTTACACTCCTGCAGGACATCTTTCACCTCCGTTATGTATGAAGCGAAACCGAGGCTCTCCAGCGCTGCGAAACCGAGAGGAGAAAGTTGCAACAATGACTTTCAGTGGTTTAAAAGCCAAACTCCACGCCTCCCCTACTTTATATCAATGAATCCAGGACGCAGAGACCATCAGGACTCACCGTTGATGACATGCTCCGGAGAAATAGTCTTTTTGTCGGATTTGTTGCATATTTCGTTGGCTTCAGAGGAGATCAGGTGGATGAACTCCGTGCAGCAGTTCACCACCAGCTCCCGGGCGTCGTTAGCAACCCTTACGTTAGGCAATGTCTCTTTGATCATCTTGTTGATCGCTGCTCTGGGGATTGTCAGATCATCGTCGTTGCCAGAGGAGGAAGCCATAGTGGCTCAAATGTACCTTTTTTTTTTTCAAAAATAAAATAAAAAATGGTGAAGCTCCAACTAAAAGCCCCGTTGCGTCAAATAACCCCGAGCAGGTTGAGTAAGATAAATGAAGAAACGTTTCCTTCAAAGTAAGGTGTGCGGGTTAGCTATTAGCAAACACACCGTCCCTGTCCGAGCGCTTTAAAAAAGAAAAGAAGAACCGCTCTAGTCTCTCACGGTTTTATAATAAATACCTCAGAAATCAAAGAAAATACACCCTGCACACACTCAAAAAAACGACAGAGTTACCTAAAAAATAAAGCTTAACTAGCCAGCTACTATGCTAGCTAGCAGCGGTGGTCCCAGCGCGGAAATAAGTGAAAGCGGCTGCGAGCATGGCTAAAGCTAGGCTAACAATGAGCTCCGGACGGAGGGAGGCAGCTTTGAAGCAGCCTTTAAGAGGAGGGCGGCCGCAGCGAAATCCTCACAGCAAAGCGGGGAGCTTTTCATCCTCCACAAAGAAATCTGAACAGAATTTAATATACAGAAATGAACGGAAGATACTTTATTCTTGGCAACATTATCTGAATTTTATCCGGATGCAACGTCAAGCAAAGAACCGGAAATAGAGTGCAACGGTCATGTTTTTGAAGTAGCATGGGTACGTTATACTACCACCTAGCGGTCAGTTTGGAGATCTTTTTTTTTTCATTAACAAAATCTTACTTTGATATCCTGTAAACTCCTGTTTTTTATTAGTATTAATTGATTCAGAAGTTACAAGGGCAAAATAGACAAAATAAAGAAATAGAAAAAACAAAAACAAATAGCAATCTCAAATTAAATGAAACGCATTCAGACAAAATCATTTTTCCAACAATAAAAACTGGACTTTAAAATATTTTCATCTGTGAATAAAAAAAATTCAATAAGTAGAAGAAAGTTTCCTTAAGAGAAGATGTACATGATGCTTAGTTTGTTTGCAATGCATTCAAGTCAATGAGTCGATGCAATCAACTGGTTTTCCTTAGATAGAAAACTTTGAATCAATTTGACTGGATGATCTGGTGAACTGTAAAGTGCCTTGAGATTAACTTGTGTTGTGAATTGGCACTATATGAATAAACTGAATTGAACTGAATGTGTACGCAGCCAGGATGTTGGAGGAAAACTGACTTTTCAAATTCCTTTTCGTTTGAAGAGGTTTTTTCTTCTTTTTCTTTTACTTATTAACTTTGATTATTTTATCTTTTATTTTATTTTTTTATTTCTCATGCTTTCCATGGGTTTTTATTTAGCACTTCCCCTTTTTTACTATGTAGCACTTAGGAATTTGTATAAATATAAAGTGCATTACAAGTCCAAAGTATTACTATTATTATCAATGAATAAAAAAATAATATCCAAGCTGAAGCTAAATGAATATCAACATAAATTGAGGAAAAAGGAATGTACCAAGTGTCCTTTTTTGTCTCTGTCTCGTTGCCACTCCTCATAGCCTTCTTTAGTGATACATCCATCAAAAAATAAATAAATAAATAAGGTCCTTCACATCCTTTTCTAAAGGGTAATAAGAATCTAAGCATGGTTAGAATACAATCGAATAACAAGCATGTCCATAAGTTGTATATTAAAAAAAAAATAGGATGACAGTTTCTACAGTTTATTTAAAGTAAAAAAAATAAAAATAAAATATGAATGAACTGGTGTGCTGATTGCTGTAGATGCAGGTATGAGTATTTAATTTTAAGAACAGTTTGGTTCGGGTGTTTCAGATGAGAAGAGGAAAATTGATTTCTCATGTGCTTGAAAATAATTTACGTGTTTTTTTGTTTTTCTAATGCGCATGGCAAGAGAAGTGAACATTGTGGAGGAGATAAACATACAAATAAAGATTGACACGGCGAACCTAAATTAAGTGCAGGTTAAAACAAAGGAAGTATATCAATTATTAATCAGTGGCAAAATAAGTGTTGGACCTCAAATGGATTTCTGCCAGTAGGAAACTGCTTTGCAAAGTCGCATTATCTTGGTTGATGGATTTCATGTTGCAATTACACCAGTTGGACAGAAGATGGCAGTAAATGCCAAGAAAATCCACGGAAGGCTGTGCAAAGGATATAGTCTCTACAAGTAATCTCCATAAATTAAGATGTTAAGAAATCAATTTTTTTTCTATTCATTGCGTGCAAGAATAAAAAGAAACTTTAGGAAGCTTCAATATTGCATAACATAAAGAAATTGATATTTAATGCAGAAATATTATGCTATGGCCTACACCAACATTACAAAAAGCAAGACATCCAAAAAAAACCTCTATAAGAAGAGCTGTTAATGCAGATGGCTTCTCCCAGGAAGCTGTGTTCAAGCAAAAATACTGGAAAGTTTTGTGGAAGGAAACGTTGTGGTATGAAACGGAGAACATTTACATTTAACTTGAACTGTGGATTGAACTGCAGCTGGAGTCCCAGCTTTGAGAAAAACTTCACATATTTAAACAGGAAATCAACCGTCACAATTCTTGTATTAAACCACTGAGGCATGTTTGTAAAACATGTATCGGTAAAAGTACAATTCACAGTGATTTACACAAATCAATCAATAAAACACAAGAAAAACAAAAGCAGAATAAAAAGAAGTAAAGATTAAAAACACAATAAAAGCAGGCAGTGAAACTAATAAAACAGTTGGATCACAACCTTAAACTAATAATACGTCAGTTAACAGTTTAACTTCAAAATAGACTATCCAGAAGAATTTTTTATATTGTCCTGTATGGCGATGTGACAATAAGAATAATTGTCTTGATGCCAAAAACAGCCCAACAGATTTTGCTTTCACAATTGGAGCAGTACGGCTATCACCATAGTGTTACGCTTAATTTATGCATATAAATAGCTTAATTATAAGTAATGGAGGGAGTATTACAGATTATCAACAATGCAGTGTAAGTAGAACAGAAAAGGAAAAGAAAAGAAGAAAAGATGAAAGAAAGAGGAGATAAAATGGAGATAACGATAAAACATCTTCATTCTGCTTCATCACCTGCAAAGAGATGTGAAAAGAACAGCACAACCAACAGATATAGTATAAAAGATACAATAAAGTAACACTTTAATACTATTGCTGAGGTTTAAGTAATATTATTCAATCTGACATGTACTCTGTGTTACCGGAAAATAAGAATATGGGCTTTCTGTATGGAAGTGAATCTCTGAGTACCTGGAACCAAGCACCTGTAGTTGTTTGTGAGAGTGCACTTGTGTATGTAAAGTTTATCCAAAGGAAAAATGCTCAATAGTGGTTGTGAAGAGCCAAAGACGCGCCCCTCCAGAGCACAGAGGCAAGCGCCGGGGGATCCAAAGCCCCAGACGCCCAAAGGGACCCCAAGAGGAAAGGCACCCAGGAGGGGCCAACCCAGGAAATCCGACCCCCAACAAGGGAGGAGTAGATACGGCCCCAAGGAAGTCCCCCAGCCACCACAATGCCAGAGCCGCTGGGAGCCGCTGGGTTGAGTCCGTGGCCTCCGCTGGCAGCCAGCCACCCTGAAGTGGATCTGGCCATAGGCCCCAGGGACCAGAGGCCCCAGGGACGCCTCACCCCCGGCGGGAATAAGTCAGTACTCGCCCGGGCATCCACCAGTGCATTGGAAGGTGCATACAGAAGGATTTTAAAGTCTATTCTCTGAGCTATGGGGATTCAGTGGAAGGACTTTAGAACCGGGGGTGGATGTGCGCGGCTTTCTTAGTTCTAGTGAGAACATGGGCAGCAGCGTTTTGGATCAGCTAAAGCTGTCTGATGGACTTTTTAGGCAAACATATGAAGACACAGTTGCAGTGATCAATTCTACTAAAGATAAATGCATGAATGAGTTTTTCTAGATCCTACTTGGACATTAGTCCTTTAATCCTGGAGATGTTCTTCAGGTGATAAAAGGCTGACTTAGTAACGGCCTTTATGAACCTCTGCAGGTTCAGGTATGAGTCCATCCTGACACAAAGGTTTCAGCCATAATAGCTGTTACCTAACTCTGGATTTCTCCTCCTTTGGACTATGAATATTCCAGTAGTTTTGTTTTATTATGGCGCATCCACATATTGATCTGCACTAAAAAGCAAATACTTTGATGAGCCACTTCTTATAGACTATGAAAAGTGGTTCAGCTTAGCTAATAATGCAGTGCATTTGATTTGGAAATCAAGGCCCTCGGTGTCAAGAGGAAGAGTAAAGGGGCCAATAATCCCAGCTGCCTGAGGTTCAGTTGGATGTGTCATCAGCTTTTCAGTGTATGGGATCCTCTGGTGCTGGTTTCTGTTTATCAAGTCCGAAAAACAAACAAGCAAACAAAAAAATTCCCTGTCGAGTTTTATGGAAAGGCAGATTTCCCTTTCCACCAGCACTTGCTTCACCCAGCATTACCAAAAGTACCAACTCCTGCTTGAATGATCATGTCTTACAGGGAAAACTGCAGAAACAAAGAACCAGAGTAACATTAGAAAGACCTGAAGTCAGAGCCCATAATTTAATGCAGTAGGTTAAAGTCAATTAAATGTTTGGTTTGGTTAGCATTAGCGGACCTGGCAAGAGGACGGGCTTGAAAGCACCACTTACTGGCCAGGAGGAGTTAAACATGAGGTAGTTACCTTTAATGTGCAGAAATGAACCTGTTCTATCAAAGCTATTCCATATAAATGTTCTACTGGACCAAAATCAATAAAGAAGAATTTCCTGCTATAAGCTAATCCCTTTGGTGTGTGTTTTGAAAAGAGCAGCTTTTCTGCAGATCAGGAAATGATCATAATTAATTGCATTTCTTAAATGTATTTAATTTAGTTTGATTTACTATAGAAAGGCTCTTATTGGACACAAAGACATGTTTAAAAAAGGACTACAGAGACATAAATTCTGTTGCTCAGAAATCTTTTTATTTATTTCCTTACAACTTCAACTTTTAATGTTCAGCTTTTCTTTTTTCAGAAACAGAGGAAACCTTGGCAGGGATATATTCCTCACACACAGACACAGAGCAGGACGTATGGATGCTAAATCCTCTCAGCTGCTCTTATCTTTTTCTAAGGTAAAACTCTTGCGGCTTCTCCAGCGCAGCAGCTTGAGGAAATTCAGGCTGGCGTTGAAGACTTTGTCGTGTTCAAACACCATTTTGTAAAACGTGTCGATGGGAAGGTCTCCATTGGGGTCGGCATACTTTAGCGTGGTCATGGGGGTGTAGAGGGTGTTTGTCTGATGGCGGAAAGGAGGATTGTCCATGGTGATGATTTTGTGGGTGTGCTGGCAGGAAAACACAGAAAAAACAGATAAATTCAACAAACGCAACGATACTTACACCTTTTAGTATTTTTCATAGGTTGTCACATTATAATCTTTAACAGGAATTGTTTTATTTATATAAAAACACAATGTTGCATAGGTGTGAAGTGGAGCAGAGTTGTTTTCTAAATTTTTGTCTGTTTCTTACCGCTAAAAATCTGACACTAACCTGTTAAGACTTAATCTTGGTGAATGTCTGATTCAATGTTGAAATTCTCAGGCATATTAGTCTGTTTTTCTTGTTGTATTTTGCTTTTATCTATTGGAAAGGGAATTATATACACTGTGATGGACTGGCGACCTGTCCAGGATGGATGGATCAATTTCTATAGATAGTAGAGTATAGAATTGTAGCCACGGCTAACATAACATGTATTTTCTCTTATCTCTTATTAAAAAAACGCAACACCTTCTTCTACCTTAGAAGGGTGGAAAAAATATGTTTATATTTTTCTGTTTTGCCACCTGTTTTGTTAATTGGATAACATAAAGATACATTTTATTTTATTATTCCTGAAATACAATAACAAATGCATTTCGATCAAAAAGATACAAATTTGTGATAATGTAAAAGGGTATTTGAAAATAATTAAAAAATAAAAAATAATTTAAAAATCTGCAAAGAAAAAAAGGCAAACTGGGGCTGCACGGTGGTGCAGTTTAAAGCAATGTTGTCATGGTTTTGGTTACGTTGTGCTTTACTTTGCTCCATGTTTCCTAGTTTTATTGGTTTAATTCTTATTTTGTTGTAGTTTCTAGATTTATGTTAGTTCTCAGGTTTTTCTGTTTTCCTCTGTTGCCCTCTTGTGTGTATTCCTTTCCTTGTCCTCCTTGTCAGCTCGTTAGCCCTGCCTTAGTCTCAGTCAGCTATTCTCTCCCTCTGCAGTCACTCCTTGTCGGTTCCTTGTCGTTGCTGGCTTCTCATGTTGTTGTCTTCATACCTCGTCTCTCCCTGACTCCTCGTGTTTGGTTTCCCCTGATGTCTCTATGGTTCTGGTTTGCTTTACATTTTTAGTTGGATTTTTGGATTCCTGCCTTTGTTAAACTGTTTCCTTTGATTAAATCTGCAAGAACTCACCTCTGCCTCCCTGCCTCTGCATTTGGGTCCACAAACACCAACCAAGACATGACAAATGTTTCTTGGAGAAAGAAGGTTCTGGGTTCGATTCCTGGCCCAGGGTCTCTTCCCGTGGAAGAAGATGGATGGATGAAAACAGCAAACTGTACAAATGGTTGAACTATTGCTTATGCTAGATTACCCTTAAACCCTTTTTATGGATTGAGATGTTTTTTAATATTTTGTAATATTGGTTCCAGTAATATTGGAACATGCAGTATTTTTCTCCATAGATTTAAAGGGTCATAGTGATGCCAGTTTCATGTTTCACCGACGGCTCCAAGTGTTCAGAATGAAGATCAGTTTCACTTCCAGCCAAACATTAAGTTTTACATTTTATTTATTTATTTTAATCTTGCATTAGGTCCTGATTTAGGGATAATTAATTGATGTCCAGTCACAGATTCTGCAACCTGAGCTGCTGGTCTCTTTATAAACTTCCCATGAGCCTCCTGGCTGTTTCTCTTCCATTTTCTCATCTAGCCTTCTACTTTTGGTTGACAGCCATCTCTCGGTTAGTAATAAAGACATAATCCTCCTGTTTGATTGTTTAGATATGCATTCAGTAAAGTGCTGGCTACACCTTTATGAAACCTGACATTATTTTCCCTCCATTTTTCAGGTGTAGCAGCAGCCATTCAAAATGGCTCTTCCTAGTCAAACGACCTGAGTGAAGTTGGCCCCCCCACCTTCTTCAAATCAGACAAAATTAGTGTCAAACTTTTGTGTTATGTTTGTGCTGGTTTGTGCAGCAAAAATTTTCGTTTGTGCTGCTTTGGATTTGAACATATTAATGAAAATATAAAGGTCAAAAGGTCAACCAGCCCCCGACCTTATTCAAATTAGACAAAATTGGTGTCACACATTTGTGCTGCGTTTGTGCAGTAAAAATTTTCATTTTGCGCCCCTTTCATTTTAAAGATATAAAGAGATGT